CAAAGATAATAAATTGATTTTATCAAAATAAGTACTTCAATCACATAAGAGTAAGTAATTACTAATTTCTAGCACAAGCAATGGTTACTCCACACAATAATCCCAATTCTATTGTCACTCCATACGATGACGTGCTAATATTGAAATTTAGTCGAGATAAGCCAATTTACCAGAGTGGGCCACGTCTGAAGGTCCGTAAAATCGAGAGATGCGAATCTACTGCTTTAGGGCCACCACTATTTACCCTAAAGTTTCTGCAAATGTACCGACGGGATCAACCAAAGATCGCAAGCTAAACGTCCAGGGACAAATTGCCCAAAATTCGTTGTGTAACCCGAAACACAAAATTAAAGGTATCAATATGTTCACAATAATAAAATGAGTAAATTGTACGAAAAGAGCTCCTCCAAAATCTGCTCGACACCCTACTATGCCCAGTGGCACCTCCATTTGCATAGCATGGTTCCGGCATCCGTTTGTCCAAAAACTTCTCAGTTGAACCGGAAGTCAAGATTGTAGGTTATGCCAGTTTGAAGAAAATCGATTTTAGGGCGACTTTGTTCAAGTTTTAGTCTAAAAAACTTGCACAAATGGCTTTGATACCAGATATAGCAGAAGATTTGTCACCAAAGGTTGTTCCGGGCTTAGCTTTTTACCTCCAGTCGACAACCTCAAAAAAACAATCGACTCAAGAATCCGCCAACCAAATCTTCTCTCCAGTTGCTATGGTTTGCCCACAAAGGACACACACAAAGAGGTGTAAACAAAGCCACGAAAGCAGAAGAGAAAAAGGAAATGGGAGATGCAAAATCCAGATAAGAGAACCGATTTCACAAAGAGAAGAGGCACGGCAAATCACAAGCAAAACCAAATGAGGAAAGGGTGACGTATATAACAGATTAGGTCATAGCAGGGAGCCCAAGCCCAATATAGATAAGTGGGTTCGGTATCACTAAGTAAACCGACACTTATAAGCCATCCAAGAGAAAGGATTTGGGCCATGAGCAGCACTAATATAAATTAGGGGGAAAATCATAATTCAGGTGTATAGTTTACACCAATTCAAAAGTCGGGTGTATAGTTTAAAAATTCAAAATTCAGGTTATATATATATATATTAACTAAATAGAATAATATAATAAAATCATTATTATACAATTAATGGTCACAAATACATTATTATATGTCACAATTTAATTATTAGTCACATATTATCAAATTAATTAGTCATGGATTATTTTGATGTCACAAATGAAAAATTTTATAGGTCACAGTTTATCTATCGGATACAAATTTTCAAATCTGTTGGTCACAGATTATATTTCAGTACAAGTTATCAAATTTTAAAGTCACAATTTAATACTTGATCACAGATAACCAAATAATTGATTACATATACCAGATAGTGTATCACACACCACGCACCAGCACTACCACCACCTTTACTTGTGACCACCCTGATGCCGGGTAAGATAGTGATTATCATATTAGCTTGTTGTAGCAGATGATTAGCAAGAAAGAAATGAAAAAAAAAACCAAAAACTAGAGAAAATACTCTAAAATTAACTCAATATTATTATTAATAATGCAGAAATGACCAAAAATAACCCACAAGCCGGCTTAAATAGCTGCAAAATACGAAATTATAAGAAAATTATCAAAAATGGCAAAATTTTGAAATTACACCAGAATGAAATATTAAGTAAAATAAGTAGGTTGTCAAAAATTTGGCTCAATTCGAGTTTTCTAACATATGAAAAAAAGAAAACGGAATATTACCATAAATAACTAAAAATTGAATTTCGAAAAGGAAAACAGCGAATTTTGGGCTCGAAATTGAAACCCACTGAGCATAACCATGACGTGCGCACCGAAGAGAGCTTTCCAGATTGAGGTCATAATAGCAATTCTGATAACCGTAGCCAAAGTTATGACCAAATTACCAAAGACGTGTTAAATTCCCCAAATCAAGGAAATAACTGCGATTTGCTTCCCATCTTTGCGCCGATCTGCCATCTCATGGTATCTCAGTGTCATTATCGTGCTATCTGACAAATCAACATCACTCGACTCAGATCCTCCTGCATCACACCCTCACCCTGTGATCGTCCCCAGCACTACAACACCACCACACCGTCGTCACCATCACCAATAGTCACCACCACCATTAACAACTCCACCTACATCGCCACACAAAAATCGCCGCTAGATCGACATCACGACCACCATCAACACCAGCAGCTCCACCACCACATACATCGCGTCGCATCCTGATCCAACAACCATCCACCACCTCCACATCCAATCAACAACCACGCCACCATTGTTGCATGTTAAAATACCATTTCTCCCAACATTACCACACCATAGCCACCATCCTACCAACAAAATCTTCAAGTCCCCCACCACCATTTTCACTTTCAATACACCACAAAATCAACCCCCAACTCTAGCAACGGCAAAATCAGAAAAAAGAGAGAGAAATGAGAAAAATGTATTGAATTTAAATCCCCAAAAATGTAACAGATCTCACGGGTGGAAAGCGAGGGAAGATGAAAACTAAACACGACGGTCCAAGCACGACAATCACCCTCCAGGATTGTGTGTTAGATTTCTTGCGTTCACAGCATCGTCGTTTGTCGGTCACAGCGTTCGCAGCAATGCACTATTGGCCAAATGTTTGAATCAACTCACCATCCCCGAATGCCAGCAGCATCGATCGGTGCATCTCCTTCATCATCTGTTGCCGATGTTTAGGTCATCGGCGTCGAAGGGAGAGAACAAGGAGAAGAAAGATAAGGGAGATATGTGGACTATAGAGAGAAGACGGAGATGAAAATTATATTAGGGTTTGGGTGGTATAGTATTTAATTATTAATTCAATACTTGAATTTTGATTAAAAGAAACTTCTCACCTGATTTGCATGTGAAGTTGAAGTACCTGAAATTATGTAATTCCCACATAAATTAGGCTACTTCCAGTCGTCTTCATTGAGGTGTCAACTTTCTATTTCGTCATTTGGTCGATTCTGACTGAGAAAATATATTGAGTTATATTATTGCTCCGTAAGTCGTTTGACAATAATTTGCCCAACAAGACCAGTTAGACCATGAGTTACATGGTACTGTCATCGAATTAGAGCTCAATAACTACAACGTGCATATGAAGAATCATTTTCCAGTCACATCTAATGGCAGCCCTTCTCTCATGCTATATTAACAACATTCTATCACATGACTCTCTTTTCTTTACAATGGTGATCACGATATGATAGCTCCTTATATCGATGCTTTAAAATGGATTCACAATTTGAGTCTAACAATTGATGACGACTGGAGACCTTGGTTTGTTAATGGCCAAGTTGCAGGGTTGTTATTCAATTCTCCAACAAACACACACATGCTCACAAATATTCTCAGAAATATGGCACTTCGAATTTATCTCCTTTGTAGATACAAGAACAGGGAAACAGTGAAAGCAAGAGAAGTTTAATTATGCTCTTTCTCAGACTGATGTATTAAAGAAATTATGAAATAATGAAAAGGTGATTATAGTACGATCTCTGCTAAATTGTACTTCGCGGGGAGGTCATGTAGCTCCAATGGACAATGGATAGCTGGTTTCGATTTGTATCCATTATAGATATTTACATATGAGCTCGTTAGCACTTTGTTTAAGTATTAAACGAATTTTGAAGGATTATTCTGTAATTTTAAATCCATTAACTGCAGCTTGTCCTAGGGAAGAATTTTGAGCACAAATGAATGTTTAACTATTGAGTTCAACAACACTGATTTATTTGAGTAATGTTAATTTAACACATCAATGGCGGTGGTTGTGAATGGCAGATGACGTTGGCGATTGTGGCTATGGTGGTGGCGGTGGCGGTGGCGGTGTCTAGTGTAAAAGAGAGTTTTGTCTTGTGAATGAATGTTGAAGTGTACAGTTTTAGCATATTGAGAAATGATACACCAATAGTGGCATGTCATATAAGATAATTAGTAGATTATTTAATTTTTGGGACCTACCATAGACTGTACCTTCTAAAAACTAAAAAAAGAGCAAAATTTCCTCTAATTGTGACTATTTACTATATTTATATGGTTATAATTATAATACTATAACTAACTGAAAGTGTGGTGATTATTATTATTATTATTATTATTATTATTATTATTATTATTATTATATGGTTATAATTATAATACTATAACTAACTGAAAGTGTGATGATGATGATGATGATGATGATTATTATTATTATTATTATTATTATTATTATTATTATTA